GAACTCCTGCAGTCGTAGGCTCCACCGAGCGAGGCGTCCGGAGGGGTCCTTCAGATTCGCCAGCCAGCAGAGCGAGTGGTGGTCTGTGACTACGCGAAAAGAACTTCCATACAAATATGGGCGAAACTTTGTTATTGCCCATACGACAGCGAGGCACTCCTTTTCGGTCGTTGAATAGTTCCTCTCCGCTTTAGACAGCGTCCGACTTGCGTATGCGATAACTCGCTCGGCTCCGTCCTGCACTTGGACTAGTACCGCACCCAGTCCGGTGTTACTGGCGTCGGTGTGGATCTCGGTTTCAGCAAACTGGTCGAAATGGCCAAGAATCGGGGGCGTCTGGAGTCTTCGTTTGAGCTCGTCGAATGACCTCTGGTGTTCTTCTGTCCACTCGAACTTTACGGCGTCCTTCGTGAGGTGTGTCAGCGGTGCGGATAGCTTGGCGAAGTCTCGAACAAAGCGCCTGTAGTAGGCACAGAGTCCGAGAAATCTTCTCACGGCCTTCTTGTCAGACGGCGGCGTAAATTCAGTTACGGCGCGGGTCTTCTCGGGGTCAGGTAGAACACCCTTGTTGTTCACGACGTGGCAAGGAACTTTAGTTCCCCATAGGCGAACCGACACTTTGTTGGCTTGAGTGACAGGCCGGCGGTCTTGATGGCTTGAAGCACGGCTCGAAGTCGTCTGAGGTGTTCGTCGAAATCTCGTGAGAATACCACGACATCGTCCAGGTAGACGAGGCAGCTCTGCCATTTCAGACCTGCCAGCACGGTGTCCATGACGCGCTGGAAGGTGGCTGGTGCTGTACAAAGTCCGAACGGCATCACTTTGAATTCGTATAGTCCGTCGGGAGTGACGAAGGCAGTTTTCTCCCGGTCACGTTCGTCGACTTCAATCTGCCAATAACCACTCTTCAGGTCCATCGACGAAAAATATCGGGAGTGGCGCAGTCGGTCTAACGTATCATCGATGCGGGGGAGCGGATAGACGTCCTTCTTTGTCACGGCGTTCAGTCGACGATAGTCCACGCAGAACCGCAGGGTTCCGTCCTTCTTCTTTACAAGGACGACTGGGGACGCCCATGGGCTCCTTGAGGGTTGAATGATGTCGTCGTCGAGCATCTCCTGGACTTGATCTTGAATCACTTTCCTTTCCTTTAAAGACACCCGATACGGCGACTGGTGGACAGGAAGTGCGTCGTCGTCGGTAACAATGTGATGTTTCGCCATTGGTGTTTGGCGAATCTTTGATGTCGTGGCAAAACAGTCACTGTATTCGGCCAGGAGATCAATCAGTTGCCGGCGCTTCGTAGCTGGGAGCTCGGGGTCAATGTCGAGCGGCGGCGGCGTCGTGCTTTCCTGCTGTGGCGACGAGGTTTCCTCGGAGATTGCGGTGACCACCGCTGGCGCTTGAAGCTTCTCGACGTGGCCCACGGTGGTACCCTTCGTTAGGTGCTGCGGCTCCTCTCGAAAGTTCGTCACAAGAACAGTTGTACGTCTTTCTTGGAGATCCGTTACGCCTCTTGCGACGCCAGTTCCTTTTTCGAGGAGCAGTTGGACGCTGCCTTCCAGAAGAGCTTCACCGTGCATAGCGGCGTCGGCCATAACGGTGACGAAAACACTCGACCGCGGCGGTAGGTTCACATGGTCGGCGATAACTCGGATCGCGGTTGATGTTGTGTTGGTCTCCACCGGCGGTAAAACAGGTTTCCGCAGCGTCAACTGGTTTGCCCCGAGGTCGATGACGGCGCCATACTCGCAGAGAAAGTCCATTCCGAGGATAACGTCCCTCGAACAGTCTTGCAGAACGACGAACTTCACAGGGCACGTTTCACCGTGGATCTCGACGCGAGCAGTGCATCTCCCGACTGGCGTGATGAGATGTCCTCCGGCGGTTCGTATTTGGGGTCCATCCCACGGCGTCATGACTTTTCGCAGGCGGCGAGAGAGCCTCCCACTCAAGACTGAGTAGTCTGCTCCGGTGTCCACGAGTGCCGATGAGTCGAGGCCGTCAATAACAACGTTTAAGTTGTTGGACACCGAAGCAGGAGCGTCGTTGTGATGCGTATCGTCGGGAGAGTGGGAGCGCTCCGTCGTTCGTGGAGGCTCTTTACGTCGGTCGTCTTCGGCAACTCCACCTCCAGGGGTTGCCGCGCCTAGTTTCCCCGGCGAGGAGCGAGGGGCGACAGGCTTTCACGTCGGGGTCGGTGCATCGGTGAAGCTGGACGTCGCGGTGACGGCGACCGGAACTCTCGGCGGGACGCAGGCTCGGGGGACTGGGGTCGTCGCAGGTACTCGTCGATCTCCCGAGGGCGTTCACCATACCGGGGGCGCGGGTCGCTTGGGTGGAATCCGCGCAGCCCGAGTCGACGGTATGGGCATCGGCGGTAGGTGTGGTCTGCCTCCCCGCAGTGGAAGCACAGAGGGCGTCGGTCGGGCGTTCGCCACACATCGGTCTTCCGGGGTGCACGGGGCTCCTGGCTGGCGTACTGGGGCTGGTCGTCGTGGCGTCGGTCGTGCTGCGGCGCAGGAGACTGGCGTCGGGGCGGCGCGACATAGGCGTGAGGAGGAGGCGGTGGCCGTCGGGCCACTGCGGCGTAAGTTAGCGCGGGTTCTTTGGAGACTGCTGCGCTGATGGGAGCCCCTGGTTGAATGGCTCTCTGCACCTCTTCCCGCACGACCTCAGCGATGGAGAGCGAAGCTGGTCGGTCCGCGGCGGGTAGTAGCTTTCGCAGCTCCTCCCGGACGACGTCGCGAATGATCTCGCGAATGCTTGGGATGCTGGAGCCAAGGTCGCAAGCGGACGGCGGAACCGCGCTGACGCCGGGTAGCCTCTGGTAGTGGCTGGCTCGGGCTTGCAGGGCACGCTCGATGTTCGTTGCCTCGGCGACAAAGTCTTCGACAGTTGTCGGAGGGCTGCGGACAAGGCCACCAAAGATGTTTTCTCTCACGCCCCGCATGAGGATTCGTAGCTTCTTCTCCTCTGTAGCCCGAGGGTCGGCGCGGGCGCTCAGGCGCAGGACGTCCTCTACGAAGCCGGTGACACTCTCGTTGGGGCCCTGGGTTCTGGTTCGCAGTAGGTCCTCGGCTCTCTCTCGGCGGTGGTGGTTGATGAAGGTAGCCTTGAGATCGTTCTTGAAAATGTCCCACGACGTCAGGGAGGACTCATGATTCTCGTACCAGTGCTTGGCAGTCCCCTCAAGCGAAAAATAGACATTGTGTAGGCGCTGCTCGTCTGTCCAGCAATTGTGGCGGGCAACGCGTTCATACTGGTCAATCCAGTCTTCGACGTCTTCGTACTGCTCGCCGTGGAATGGAGCCGGTGTCCGAGGAGCGACGGGTAGGTAGACGACGGCAGGAGCGGCGGGGGGGTCTGCGACTGGTTGGCCATCGTCGGCTGCCTGGTCCTGGGGGGTAAAGGTCCGTATTCCGGGTGTAGCCCTTGGGTTCGGCGACTTGATCGAGTCTCGATCTGGTCTTCGTTGGGTCCTCGGGAGCTTGGGTTCGGACTTGCAGTGCGGGAACTTGGGGGGCTGCGCTGCACGAACATGCGGTACCCCGCACCTCCACCAAAATGTCACGGGTGGTGACTAATAAACAAGAAATAAACAGGAATAAATAAACGTTTAATGTGGCGAACTTGTGCCAAAAATAAAAGGGTACAAAAGAAAGATAACAACAGAGCGTCGCGGGCGTCGAAGGCGGCGAAGCAGCACGATCAAACGCTGAGGCGAGACTGACTCGACAAGGTCGCGGGCGGCCTCTTATCTAGAGTACGTCGCTATCTCGAAGATTCGGCGAAAGCGGCTCGAGCGTCGCGTGATCGTTGCGAGAATGAACACGCACTTTCTAGAAAACAAAAGCAGAAGATACATGGATATAAATAATAGAAGTTACGTGGGTGCGCTACATGAATAAACGGGAAATTTCTGGAGGTCCGTGACCGAGCGTTGCTTTCTCAGCCCTGCGCGCGGTAATATTACAATTTGTTGTATAGGCCAAGATGGTTCTTTTCGAGATGTGGCATGTCAGCATAATTTTTGGTCAGATTTTTTTAGGAGACTGCTCACTTTGATATTTTTTTTTTTATGGCTGAGCTGCCCCCCAAAATATTTGCGGCATGAACTGTGTTTTTTTTATTGTGTATCTGCTCTAGTCATTTAAAAGAAAAATAAATGTAAATATTTTTGAAGCAGCAAACTGTTCAGTCTTCTTTGCAATGGGTCCGTTCTTATGGGTTGGAACCAAAAGGACCAAGCGTGAACTTAGTTTGATAACGATTTTTTTACAAATGTTTATCTGCCTTTATTCCCGTCACTACACGTACAATGCTGTCTAAACTTGACGTAGCATGTGAACACTTTCTCATGGCATTCCTGGCTGTTCTATTGAGTGTATATGTCACAGATTCATTGTTCTGTTTTCAGGATAGTGTTCGCATTAGATACGACAGTTCAAATTTTCCATACATACAAGTTTGGGGAACATTTGCGCATTGCAGGTAATTTTATGTTGCAGAGACGTGCATCAAGTTGCGCCTGCAAACTGGCAGGACACCCCTGTTTTGCATGTCGCATATCAACTTTTTCAAGGAGGAGCTTGGCATGTGACATACAAAGCCCGGATGTACTCATGAATAGCGGCAGTAAAATAAAATGGGGCGAGTACTATCACAAACAAGACTGAACTTTTTCCGTACGTACAAGAAATGTAACCTGTGTCGTTTTGGACGCATTGGAACATGTAATGTACTTCGTAAAAATGGTACATGTTGTGGCATGGCTTGCAACAGAACATGTGCTGCTGTGTGCCACGATGGTACATTTTCTGTAGCATACAGTACTTGTTCCGTGATGATGGTGTATGGAACTTGTTGTGGCTGCCCATACAGCAACCACATGTCCCGTACTAAAGAAGTATGGAACATGTTCTGTAGTCCGGTAATACAGTACATGTTGTGGCAACAAGGTTAGCATGTATGTGTCCCATATTTTGACAGGAGTTTTTCTAACAGTGTATGTTAAGGAAATTTTCTACCGTGTCGTGCCATGACCCTTTGGTCCGAGCTTGGATTCGCTGCAGGAACCACCTGCCTGGGAGAGTCGTAGAGAGCCGGGCTAACTGGGAGAGTCTTCTGGCTCTGGCCTGGACTGTAAGCGGCTCTGCGCCCGCCTCCTGGAGTACCACAGCATTCTTGGCCGCGTTGAGAATTCCCAGTGCTGTACGTAGCCCGCGTCTGTGCCCTTGCTCCAGCCTCTCCGTATCCGTCTGGGACGGGAACATGTAAGGAAGCCGGTACAGGATTCTAGACGTCACCAGCGCGGACTGGGCGCTAGTGATGGTCCGTTCTGTGCAACCCCATGTGGTACCCGTCATGTGGCGGACAGCGTTCATGGCCGGTCTGCATTCGGCGGTTGTCGCTTTCACTGCTTGTGTCCAGCGCAGCCGACTTGTGATGACAATTCCTAAGAAGCGTTGTTTGTTCACACACGTGAGGGGTTTTCCTGCCAGTTTGATGTCAGGGGGGCGAAAACGTCGACCATTTCCGCGCACCGGCATCCAGACTGTCTTATCCTGGGAGAGGGATAGCCCCGATTTGGTCAGGAAGGTGTCTACCGCTTGAACGGCGCTTTGTATGCTGCGGTGGATCTGCGTGGTGTAGATGCCCGTAACCCAGAGGCAGATGTCGTCTGCGTAGATCGACACCTGAACCGGGAGAGGGGTCGAAGGAAGAGAGAGCGGTAGTGGTGCCATAACCATGTTGAAGAGAATCGGGCTTAGCACGCTTCCCTGAGGCAGTCCTCTGTGAAGCAGTCTTGGCGAGCATGCCGCGCCTTCAGCTCGAATCTGGATCTTGCGTCCGGTAAGAAAATTGGCCAGGAAGACTTGAATTTTTCCGGTCAGTCCAATCTCAGTCAATCTCCGGAGTATAGTCGATGGCGGCACGCCGTCGTAGGCTCGTTCCACGTCGAAGAAGACTGCCACCGTGTTCCTCCGCCTGTTCTTGTTTTCCTCAAGGTCGTTCGTGAGGTCCAGAATGCTGTCTTGTGCTGCCAGCCCTCTCCCAAAGCCAGTCATGCACTCCAGGAGACACATGCGTTCTTCCAGGTACCACCGAAGGCGCCCCTGCACAAGTCTTTCGAACAGCTTACTTATGCACGAGGTCAGCGACATTGGGCGGTAAGACTCAGCTTTGTCTGAGTCTTACCGCCCAATGTCGCCTGGCTTCAGTAGTGGAACAACCGTTGCTACTTTCCATTCTTCTGGGACGTCGCCAGAGTCCCATATGAAGTTGAACCAGGTGAGGAGGGCCTCGAGTGCATCGTTCGTTAAGTTCGTGAGCGCCTGGTAAGGGAATCCGTCGGGCCCAGCTGCAGTCTTCTTACGACACTTCCGGAGGGCGCTTTGGAGTTCCGGTGCAGTAAAGGGGGCATCTACACTGTTAGAAAAACTCCTGTCAAAATATGGGACACATACATGCTAACCTTGTTGCCACAACATGTACTGTATTACCGGACTACAGAACATGTTCCATACTTCTTTAGTACGGGACATGTTGTTGCTGTACGGGCAACCACAACAAGTTCCATACACCATCATCACGGAACAAGTACTGTATGCTACAGGATATGTACCATCGTGGCATACAGCAGCACATGTTCTGTTGCAAGCCATGCCAGAACATGTACCATTTTTACGAAGTACATTACATGTTCCAATGCGTCCAAAACGACACAGGTTACATTTCTTGTACGTACGGAAAAAGTTCAGTCTTGTTTGTGATAGTACTCGCCCCATTTTATGTTACTGCCGCTATTCATGAGTACATCCGGGCTTTGCATGTCACATGCCAAGCTCCTCCATGAAGAAGTTGATATGCGACATGCAAAACAGGGATGTCCTGGCAGTTTGCAGGCGCAACTTGATGCACGTCTTTGCAACATAAAATTACCTGCAATGCGCAAATGTTCCCCGAACTTGTATGTATGGAAAATTTGAACTGTCGTATCTAATGCGAGCACTATCCTGAAAACAGAACAATGAATCTGTGACATATATACTCAATAGAACAGCCAGGAATGCCATGAGAAAGTGTTCACATGCTACGTCAAGTTTAGAGAGCATTGTACATGTAGTGACGGGGATAAAGGCAGATAAACATTTGTAAAAAAATAGTTATCAAACTAAGTTCACGCTTGGTCCTGTTGGTTCCAACCCATAGCAACGGACCCATTGCAAAGAAGACTGAACAGTTTGCTGCTTCAAAAATATTTACATTTATTTTTCTTTTAAATGACTAGAGCAGATACACAATAAAAAACACAGTCCATGCCGCAAATATTTTGGGGGGCAGCTCAGCCATAAAAAAAAATATCAAAGTGAGCAGTCTCCTAAAAAAATGTGACCAAAAATTATGCTGACATGCTACATCTCGAAAAGAACCATCTTGGCCTATACAACAAATTGTAATATTAACAACAGAAAAGAAAGATTAATCTAAACAAGCACCGAAGTTTCTTTCCACTTCTTTTGGAACTTCGCGAACTCTTGGAGGGCTCCCTGCGCCTTCAGATGCACCAGAGCAACTTTTCTTAACGACTGCCGGGACCCCTCCTGCGGGTTCATTGCCACAAGTCGCCTGAAGAAAAAAAGATAACATAAATAATGGGTGGGATTTCTTAGAGGAGGATGTATAACAGAAGCTAAGGAGTTCCTGGCTCCTTCTTTAACTTCTCTATAGGTTAGTAATCCAATCTGGACAAATTCTAAACCTCGCCTATAGTATACTTTCAAGCCGAGACACGCCCTTAATTTGGACAGTCCGTGCACACACCATGAGCCTCCAAGCCTGATCCTTGCATCAAGACGAATTGTGATTGTACACACACAAAAAAAAAAAAAAAAAACGATTCAGCTTACTGGCATTAGTTCTCAGTAATAACTGGACACATTTCGGATCTTGTGTGAGCACACAACGCTAAAACATTCTACAACCCGAGACGGAGGCTACAAAGGAGGACGAACACATCCGTCTCAACTGAAACGTATGTCTTCGAAGCCTCCATCTCGGTTTGTAGAATGTCATATTCTGCTCCCATTCAGCTCCCATTCAGCGCTGCTCCCATTCAGCGCTGCGCTCTGAATGGGAGCAGACGCATGCTCACGCGCTCGCTTGCTATCATGGCCCAGCCGCTGAAAGATGTTTCCGTGGGTTTGTCTGATAAGGAGCCACACAAAGATTTGTGTGGCTCGTGCTCCAACCGCTTCTACGCAAAACAGCAATACCTAAAATGCTCGGCCGGCTGTAACCGCCGTTTTCATTGTAAATGCATCGACGTGCGTGCCGAAGACTACAACGTACTTATGGAGACTGGTTTCAGCACCTACAAGTGTACATCCTGCATTCGACGGTCATCAAAGCCTAATGATTCCGGAGACGAGGAGGACTCGGCAAGCGTTGAAAAGACACCGGCAGTTCCGTCGATTGTGAACGGTGAGTCGCTCTCTTCGGAGGCGGTCCACATGTTCACAACTATTCTGAACAAGCTGGACTTGCTCGTGACTGAAGTGAAGTGCCTGAAGGCAGAAAACAACAGCATTCGGTCTGAGCTGTCACAAATCCGCAAATGCCTCCCGAGCTCGAGACCGATGCAGGCTGGGCCACGAATGCCTTACGCTGCTGTCATGTCGGCGAACGCGAGTGCTGCTCCACCTACCACGAATGCGTCTGGGACCCTCGATCGACAGTCTTCGCCAGCTTGGACTGCCCCTGACATCGGCAGTCACAAGACGGATTTGAACTACGATACCGCTACATCGGCTGCGTGTGCTTCGACGGTCGCGGGCCGTGCGGGCCAACCTGTTCCGGGGGTCAACTCCCCAACGAACGTTACCGAGGACGGTTTTGTGCCGTGGAAGTCTCGACGCCAAGCAAAGGCCTCCAGTGGAACGTCCAAGAACTGCAAGGTAAAATCTGTACCGCGCAAGGCGCTGTCGAAGGCCCTGTTTGTGTCTAGGCTAGATCCGGACACATCGGTTACAGAGGTGCTCGATATTATCAAGCCTGTTCTTAAGGCAAAGATCGCCTCTTGTGCTAAACTTAGGACAAAATACACCTCGTATTCTTCTTTTCATATATCTGTGGAAGACGAGACGTTCGAGGCCTTAAATAACCCTGAAGTCTGGCCGGAAGGGTGCCTGTTTCATCAGTTTTTCGGGAAACTGGACGCGTCGCGGGTGTCTGAATCAATAGACCAAAATGGCAGCGTCGAAGAACACAATTAAGGTATACGTACTATCAAAACGTCCGCGGATTACGAACGAAGGCAGATGAATTTTCGTCCAACCTAGCGCTTTCCTCTTTTGACATAATCTGTCTTACTGAAACTTGGTTATGTGCCGAAATACATGATTCACAATATTTTCCGAATGACTACACTGTGTTTCGCCGCGATCGTGATTATAGCGCCACTGGTCAACGTTTCGGCGGTGGGGTGTTAATTGCAGTCTCGAGCAAGTTAAAATCGTGCCGTAGACAAGACCTTGAGACTTGTGACGAGTGCGTATGGCTCGAAATTTTATTGCGTGACCGTAGTAAATACCTCATCGGAAACTATTACTTCCCACCTAAATTTGAATGCTCAACTTTTATTTCACACTTCGACACTTTAACAAGTCTAATCAATTTTAGCGAATACAAAGTGCAAATTTTTGGAGATTTTAACCTTCCAGGCGTAGACTGGGCCCTTGGGAGACTTGATTGTTGTGATTACTTGACAGAGAGCAAAGCTTCTTGGTTTTTGCCACTTATCAACTTTTATGGTCTTTCACAGCACAATAATCTAACGAATGCTTCTGGCAATACACTTGACTTGCTTTTATCAAACTTCCCTGTCGGCGCGATAGCGTCTTCGTCACACCCCTTGGTGAGGGTCGATGCTTATCATCCGCCCTTTGAAGCCGAATTTTACTTGCCATGTTTATCGCGAGAACTATCGAAATTCATTTACTGTTACGAAAAGGGAGATTACTTCAGCATTTACAGGCATGTAGAATCACACGCGTGGTCTGAGCTATATGATTCCAATGACTCAGATTTTGCAGCACAAAAATTGACTTCGGTAATGAAGGAAGCTATCGAAGAGTATGTGCCTAAAAGGCTCGTTAAACCGAGGAAATTTCCGAGCTGGTTTTCGAGGGAATTGAAGACTGCTCTGCGTAAAAAGACTCGTTTTCATGGTCTATACAAGAGAACGTGTAAACAAGTATGGTACCAAAAGTTTTCCAACTTTCGTTCCTTAGCTAAAATATTGCTTGCACGTGACAAATACGTCCACGAAAGACATGTTGAAAATAGTCTATATTCTGATCCCAAATCTTTCTGGAAACACGTAAACACCAAACCGCATTCGTTTTCACAACATTCATCTCTGCGCTCTTCTAGTAACGGTGATACTCATTATGTTACATCGCCAAAAGACATCGCTGATGAGTTTGCCTCGTTTTTTAGCAGCTGCTACTTACCGCCCATACATTCGGTGAAGTCAGATCTAATCAATGATCCCAGTGATGGGGACTCGCTCTCCCTGTTCAGTGTTGCTACACGGGACGTTGAAAAGGCGATTAAAAAGCTCAAGCCGAAATCGTCAGTGGGCACTGATGACATTCCACCATTTATTATTAAAGGATGCTGTGGGCTTCTAGCGCCAATTTTAGCCCATATTTTTAATGTATCTTTGCGTACCAGTATGTTTCCAGCAATATGGAAGGAAGCCATTGTTGTGCCCATTCATAAAGCTGGTGATGCTGGTATTGTATCAAATTACCGTCCTGTGTCACTACTGTGTGGTTTTGCTAAAGTATTTGAAACCATTATGCAAGAATGTCTTTTCTCTCATTTATCTAAGTATCTGACGCTGCAACAACATGGTTTTATAAAGGGCGCTCTGTCGAAACTAACCTTTGTACTTTTCTACACTACGCAGCCCCGGTCGTTTCAAACCGAGGGCAGGTTGACTCGGTATATTTCGATCTTACAAAGGCTTTCGACAAGGTTGACCATGCTTTGCTTGTACATAAATTGAAACAATATGGTTTCGCCCCTCAACTTTGTGAATTGGTTTTAAGTTACTTGTCATCGAGGAAAAATTTTGTTCGAGTTGATACTGTTTTAT